ATATATATGTATATAGATATACGTACACACACACATATACCAGCTTTAGGCAACACTGATGGAGCTGGAAACTAATGGCCCCACTAGATCTCTAACGAAAGCAAGAACTGGAGATTAGGGAGAGGATTATAATTTTTATTTTATTATATTTTATACTAACAATAATGCTACTAAAGGCCTAAAAACATTGACTACTTAACAATGAGCATAACTCGTGATTTACTTGTTAAAATCACAATTGTAACTTTTTGATTTTATCACAGGTTGAAGGTTACAGGTAACCAATTTATTGATGCTGCCAAAAAGTGTCGGTAACCTATATTCCATTTATTTATTTATAAAATATTTTACCAGGAAGGAAACTTTGAGATTTCTCTTGTTTTCAAGTATGTCCTGGGTCCACAAAACATTGCATTGCTACAATAGGGCACAATACAATACAAAAACAATGTTAATACACAATAAATACAAAATAAAACATATATAATCAACCATGACAAGTGCATTCTGCTTTGGGAAGATTTGAAAGTGTGTAGGAGGTCATTCCATAATTGCGTTGCTCTGTAGGAAAATGAGGATTGAGCTGATTTCTTTTTGTATTGATGTAGAATAAATGAAGTGTTGGTATGGGATCAGAGGTTATAGAAGGTGGGAACAGCTGGGGAGAGCATTCTGCTCAGGTAGAGTGGGAGCTTCCCAGAAAAGCTCTTAAACACAAGGCTGGAAAGATGAAGGGTGCGTCTGGATTCAAGCGACACCCAATTTAGTTATTTGAGCATGTCACAATTGTGGGTCATGTAATAACATTGTAGCACAAAGCGGCAGAACAAGTTATAAAATGTATTAAGCTTATTAAGGTGAGTTTGCAGTGCAGGTGCATATACTACATCCCCATAATCAATGAGTGGCATCAGCATTTGCGATAAATCTTTTCCTTTACCGTAGGACTTAGGCAGGATCTGTTTCTGTACAGGGCACCTAGTTTTGGATAAAGTTTTGATGCAAGTTTGGAGGCAAAAAGATAGATTAGCGTCTAGCAACACACCCAAGTATTTGAAAGAGTGAACTGCGGTCAGTGTGTTATTTGTTTTTTGTTTTGATGCATAGATGGGAATTTCGTAATATGTGTAATTTAGACTGTTCCAAAGATCATTGTGACAGTTTTGTCAGTGTTTAGGAATAGTTTGTTTTTTGTGATCCACTTTTCTACCTCTGTGAATAGGTCTTGGAGCACAGCCTCAAGCTGCAGTAGATCAGATTTGCTTGCGTAGATTACTATGACGTCTGCATACATGTGTACCTTTGAGGATTTGCAGACATTAGGCAGAGCATTTATAAATAATGTGAATAGTAGGGGGCCAAGAATGGAACCTTGGGGAACACCACACATGACTGGGAGAGGGAGTGGGTCGCTTCCAGAAACAGACTCATATTGTGATCGATCCAATACATATGATCAAAACCAGGTTAGCGGACAATCCCCATTACCTGAGTTTTTTAGTTTGTGCAGTAGAATGTCACGGTCAACTGTGTCAAAGGCCTTTACAAAATCAAGGAAAATAGCTCCAGTTAGGTCTCCTTGTTCCATGACAGTTTTGATATAATTGCAAACTTTTAAGAGGGCAGTTGTAGTTGAGTGATTCGGGCAAAAGCCTGATTGATCTGGGGTGAGATAGTTTGATTGTTGGTAATACTCACATAGTTGAATATGGACGCATGTTTTCAAGATTTTTGACAATACTGGGAGCAATGATATTGGACGATAGTTAAAAACCAAAGTTGTGTCACCAATTGTATGGATAGGTACTACTCTTGCAGTCTTCCAAAAGTTTAAATATGTATCCAGACACCAAGGATTTGTTATTTAGGGTTGTGACAGGTTTAGCAATTACCGGCGCACTGAGCTTCAACAGCATTGCTGGGATTTGATCAGGTCCAGGCTGGTTTTTCATTTTTAGATTATTAAGGTGTTTATATGACACTAATAGGTACAGGTCTAAAACTGAACTTCTCTATATTTTGGAAACTTAGTGGGGTTTGATCCATATTTGTAGTTTCAGGATGCGTGTCATTTATTAGCTTGGCAATCAGAGTTGTGGACCATCTGACAAAATAATTTTTAAAGGCATTTGCTGCATCTAAGGGGAGTTGCAGGTTTTGGTTGTCCACTTTGACAGTGGAGTGTTGGGAGTGTATTGGGGGAGTTTGTAGTTTATTTATGATTTTCCAAAAGTTTCTAGGGTTTGAAATGTTAAAGTTCAGATTTTCACTGAAATATTGGGCTTTGGCCAATTTTGTTTGCTTTGTGCATATATTTCGCCATTGTCTATATGCATAGTGATCGTTCACGGAGCCAGTGCACTTGAACTTTGATCACAATGAATCCTGAAACTGGTAAATTTAAATAAGGTCAGCTGTGACCCAATTTATATGTGCCCCATTTTACTCTTAACATACGCAGTGGGGCATGCAAATTCCAAACTTGTATGAGTTCAGACTGAAATAATTTAACTGCACAGTCTAGATCTGGAATTAGGTTTAATTTGGGCCATGGGGGGTTCTTGATGTAATTTAGAAAGTATTCAATATTCAATTTTTTGAAGGACCTGGTGATTTTAACCTTGGGAGAGGATTAAGTAGCCCTTTTTGCACACGCATTACACTAAGCAGTGGTCACTGAAACTGTTAGGGAGAACACCTGCCTCCTGGATTCTATCAGGAGAAGAGGAGAGAATCCAATCTAGCAGGGTATGGTTATGATTTCAACACTCTCCACCACCACTCAGCAGATAAATTACAGCAACAAAGCAGGGGAATTGGTAGGAACATAACAAGAGTGTGAAGGGGGTTACAAGGTATATTAACATGGTCAAATTTGAAGGTATGTACAGTTGGGGAGGAGATAAAAACTAAAAAATAAATTAGTTACAAATAATGCATATATGGTGAGGAAGTAGTACTTACACTATACATATGGCTAGGTACAGAACACAAACATAAATGCAGCAAGCACAACAGAGTGTGGATGATAATGAAGATGTTGATTGAAGCACTGTGTTTTACTCCTTGTGTCCTCCTTGGTGAACTCCCTTGGTAAACTCCAATGATTCAGGGCACTTATTAGAAGTTGGCACTTGATGAATAGTGGCACACAGATGGAATGTGGTCTGTGTTCCCATATGTACTTGCTTAATATGTATGGGTTTCTTCCAGGTATTAAACACACAGAGTTTCTCACAAAAGTGAGTACACCCCTCACATTTTTGTAAATAATTTACTATATCTTTTCATGTTACAACACTGAAGAAATGACACTCTGTTACAATGTAAAGTGTACAGCCTATATAACAGTGTAAATTTGCAGTCCCCTCAAAATAACTCAACACAGAGCCATTAATGTCTAAACCGTTGGCAACAAAAGTGAGTACACCCTTAAGTGGAAATGTCCAAATTGGGCCCAATTAGCCATTTTCCCTCCCTGGTATCATCAGACTCGTTGGTGTACAAGGTCTCAGGTGTGAGTTATTATTATTATTATGATGTTATTTATATAGCGCCAACAAATTCTGCAGCACCTTATAGTGGGTGGATGAACAAACATGTAGTTGTAACCAGACAAGTTGGACACACATGCTAGAGGGAGTGGGGTAAAGTGACACAAAAAGTAAGGATAGTAGTAGACTAATGACAGTTGCAAGAGAGGATCAGTCGGGCACTATTAACAGTTTAACTGATACGCTTTTATGAAGAAGTGGGTTTTTAATGATATTTCGAAGGAGTGTATACTGGGTGAGCATCTAACGGAGGAGGGAAGTGAGTTCCACAGGAACGGTGCAGCTCTCGAGAAGTGTTGAAGGCAAGCATCAGAGGTGGGAGTACGGACAGAAGATAGACGTAAGTCTTCAGCAGAGCGTAAGGGCCTAGACGGGACATACTTGTATATTAGGGAGGATAGATAGGTGGGAGCAGCATTATGTAGAGTTTTAAAAGCAAGAACCAGAATTTTAAATTGAACCCTATATCTTACAGGAAGCCCATGTAGGGACTGACAGAAGTGTGAGGCTTGGGCGGTGCTGATGGAAAGGAAGATGAGCCTTGCCGTCGCAATCATTATGGACTGTAACAGTGCAAGTTGGGAGCACGTAAGATCACTGAGAAGCGGATTACAGTAGTCAAGGCGAGAAAGGACAGTGGAATGGACCAGCACCTTAGTCGCATCTGGCGTTAAGTAGGGTCGGATGCACGCAATATTTTTCAGATAGAAATGGCAGGATTTGATGATAGACTGAGTGAAGGAGAGGTCAGAGTCAAAGTGAACACCTAAGCAGCGAGCCTGCATGGTGGAGCTGATGGTAGCACCATTGACTTGGAGGGAGACAGACACAGGAGTAGCAACACTTGAGGGAGGAAAGACCAGAATTTCAGTTTTGGTCAAGTTGAGTTTAAGGAAGTGGGCAGCCATCCTGTTAGAAATAGCAGAGAGGCAGTCAGAGACACTAGTCAAGAGGGACGGGGAGAGATCAGGAGAGGACAGATAGATCTGCGTGTCATCCGCATAGAAATGATATTGGAAGCCAAAGGAGCTAATGAGTTTACCAAGGGAGGCAGTATAGATGGAGAACAGTAGGGGACCAATGACTGAACCTTGGGGGACACCAACATAGAGGAGTTGGGGAGAAGAAGCAGAGCCTGAGAAAGAAACACTGAAAGAGCGCTGGGAGAGGTAGGAGGAGCACCAGGAAAGACTAATATCTTGTAAACTGATATTGCGGAGGATGAGAAGAAGCTGTTGATGATCAACAGTGTCAAAAGCCACAGAAAGGGTAAGGAGAATTGGGATAGAGTAGTGACCATGAGATTTTGCAGTGAGTAGATCATTGGATACTTTGGTCAGTGCCATTTTCAAAGAGTGCTTAGCACAGAAACCAGACTGAAGCGGGTCTAGTAGAGAGTTGGACTCTGCACTCACACTCTCTCATACTGGTCACTGGAAGTTCAACATGGCACCTGATGACAAAGAACTCTCTACGGATCTGAAAAAAAGAATTGTTGCTCTACAAAAAGATGGCCTTGGCTATAAGAAGATTGCCAAGACCCTAAAACTGAGCTGCAGCACGGTCCGCAAAACCATACAGCGGTTTTACAGGACAGGTTCCACTAAGAACAGGACTCGCCATGGTCGACCAAAGAAGTTGAGTGCAGGTCCTCAGCATCATATCCAGAGGTTGTCTTTGGGAAATAGATGTATGAGTGCTGCCAGCATTGCTGCAGAGGTTGAAGGGGTGGGGGGTCAGCCTGTCAGTGCTCAGACCCTACGCCACCACTGCATTAAATTAGTGTGCATGGCTGTTGTCCTAGAAGGAAGCCTCTTCTAAAGATAATGCACAAGACAGCCCGCAAACAGTTTGCTGAGGACAAGCAGACTAAGGACATGGTTTAATGGAACCAAGTCCTAGGGTCCGATGAGACCAATATAAACGTATTTGGTTCAGATGGTGTCAAGCGTGTGTGGTGACAACCAGGTGAGGAGTACGAAGACAAGTGTGCCTTGCCTTCAGTCAAGCATGGTGGTGGGAGTTTCATGCTTTGGGCCTGCATGAATGTACTGTGACATACTGAAGCACTGTATGAGCCCCTCCCTTTGGAGACTGGGCCGCAGGGCAGTATTCCAACATGATAATGACCCTAAACACACCTCCAAGATGACCACTGCCTTGCTAAAGAAGCTGAAGGTAAAGGTGATGGACTGGCCAAGCATGTCTCCAGACATAAACCCTATTGAGCATCTGTGGGGCATCCTCAAACGGAAGGTGGGGGAGTGCAAGGTCTCTAACATTCTTTTGTTTTCAGTAATAAAAAAATTGACCTTTCTTGCAAAGGTATAAACCTGAAATGTTGAACTGTGGCATCTCGGATGTTTTCAGCCTGCATGCATAAATGTCCATCAGCTATAGATTGCCAAGAATTTGGTGAGTAATGTTCGCTCCCTTATCATTAGGGGGTGACTTACTCCAAGGATGACTATCTTTAACCAAATTGCTAGTGATGTACTAACGTCTATCAATATCAGCAGTCACAGATTCTTGCAAGACAAAAGTTGTAGCAAAAAAAACAAAAACAAAAAAACTTTAGTTTTCACTCTGATTAATCTGTTAACATGACTTCCTGTTCTAAATAAGAACTTTTACTCAGCAACTTACTGAAAGGAAAAAAACAAAATAAGTAAAATATTAATGTAAAACGAGATCAATTCAGTACCGGCTGCATGAAAAGATCTAAGTTTAGTACCTAGAGAGGCTTTTATAGTCTTAATTAGAGCTTTGCACATATCCCTCCCCTTTCACCTCTAGGCATCTATTCTCCTATGGTGACCTTTTCTTGAAATTAAGAAATTGTAGCAAATGTTCATTCCATCTTCAGCTGAGTCTACCTCCTTGTGCTTTCTGTCTTTCATGATCATTATGTTTTTTTCATGGGGTTTCTTTTTATTTATTTTACCAGAATTTTTCTACAGTGTTGTAATTTTTGTCTGCCTCCTGTGAAGAGGTTAAACAAAGGGGCAAAGAAAATGTACAATAAATGATGCCAGGCTCAGGTGACAGAAATAGGACGGCAACAGAAAATCCGTCAAGGTGGAATGAACAAACAAAACTATGAAAATGAAATAAACACTTCAGGTGACAAAGCAGAACAGTTACTGTATAAAGCCAAACACTGCAATTTATTGGTAACAAGAACACACACAATATATCACCACAGAAAATCTATTTTTTATGAGTACAGCCATTTAGGATTGGTAATGTTTAATCAAGATATTAAACAAATGAATCTTGATTTACAAACACACCTACAAACAGACAGCTTTCTACAATTAACACAATGTTGATTGTAATAAGAAACGGGTATAAACAAACAACCTACTCTTTATAATAGCACAAAACAAGGGATATATTTAACCTCATCACTACCAAAACCTTATATGTACATTATTAAAGGGACACTATAGTCACCAGAACAACTAGAGCGTATTGAATTTGTTCTGGTGAGTAGAATCATTACCTTCAGGCTTTTTGCTGTAAACACTGTCTTTTCAGAGAAAATGTAGTGTTTACATCACAGCCTAGTGATAGCTTCACTGGCCACTCCTCTGATGGCTACTAGATGTACTTTTAACCCCTTCAGGACGGGTGACGGACGAGGTCCGTCACACAGGGGAGACCCTTAACGACGGGTGACGGACCTCGTCCGTCACGCGGTAAAATTAACCCCGGATCGCCGCTATCGCGGCGATCGCGGGGTTAATGGTGCTCCAGGTATGCCTCCGCATTGGAGGCATACCGGGAGCACCCGGTCAAGCTGCCCAGCACATGTGCTCGCTCTGACCACAAGTCGGAGCGAGCACATGTGCTCTGAATACTTACCTACCGGCTCCCTGCACTTCCGGGTTCTGTGTGAAGTGCAGGGAGCCAGATCAGTGCTGATCCTGCCCCCTGCTGTTAAAAAAAATAAAGTTAATTTAAAGTGTCCCCCCCCTTACCCATTTTAATAAAAAATTAACCCCTTCCCTGCCAATTGATCACTGACTACAGTGATCAATTGGCAGGGATTACATTTTACTATGATCTGATTTTTTTTTTTTAACCCCTGAGGGTTAATTTTTTTTTTTTAACCCTAAGGGGTTAAATTAATTAAATTAATTAATTAAATTATTTTTAAATTATATATTTAGATAGCTGGGGTAGGTGGAAGCTAGTGGGGAATTGGGGGATTTGACGTTAGGCTAACTAGGGGTTAACGTTAAAAAAAAGTTTTAAAAGAAACTTTAAAAAGTTAAAAATTAAGCTTAAAAAATGTTTTAATAACATTTAAGTAATAAAAACAAAAAACACACTTTACCTAGTCCAAATAAAAATTAACCCCTTCCCTGCCAGTCGATCACTGCCTACAGCGATCAAATAGAGATCACAGTATTATACTGTGATCTAATTTTTTAACCCCTGTGGATTAACTTTTATTTATTTTTTTAACCCTCAGGGGTTCAATTTATTTAATTAATTTAAATATTTTATAACTATATATTTTGCTAGCTGGGGTGGGTGGGAGTTATGGGAAAATGGGGAATTTACTGTTAGTGCTGCGTACTGCTAGTTAGGGGTTAACAGTAAAAAAAATAGCTTAGAAAAATGTTAAATCTTTAAAAAAGTTTTAAGAAAGTTTAGGAAAGTTTAAAAAAAATTTATAAGCAAAACAAAAGTTTAAAAACTAGTTTTTAAAAGTAAAAAAGTTATAAAAAGTAAAAAATACATTTTAAAAACGCTCATTACCACTACACCTGGAACAAACTAGAGAAAAAATTATCCCACGTCAAGGTTCAAAATATGCCTTTTGAATTACCCCAGGGTGTATTCTTTAATAAATAGTGTGTGTTTGTGGGGAAGTTTCAATAACCAACCGTCTAAACTATTCCAAATTGGAACATGGACACAGCGTAAAACTTCAAAGTTAGAAAAAAACTGAATGGCTGCGTCTCAAATGCGCCCCTTCAACATCCACATATACCTGGCAAATGAATCTTGATTTACAAACACACCTACAAACAGACAGCTTTCTACAATTAACACAATGTTGATTGTAATAAGAAACGGGTATAAACAAACAACCTACTCTTTATAATAGCACAAAACAAGGGATATATTTAACCTCATCACTACCAAAACCTTATATGTACATTATTAAAGGGACACTATAGTCACCAGAACAACTAGAGCGTATTGAATTTGTTCTGGTGAGTAGAATCATTACCTTCAGGCTTTTTGCTGTAAACACTGTCTTTTCAGAGAAAATGTAGTGTTTACATCACAGCCTAGTGATAGCTTCACTGGCCACTCCTCTGATGGCTACTAGATGTACTTTTAACCCCTTCAGGACGGGTGACGGACGAGGTCCGTCACACAGGGGAGACCCTTAACGACGGGTGACGGACCTCGTCCGTCACGCGGTAAAATTAACCCCGGATCGCCGCTATCGCGGCGATCGCGGGGTTAATGGTGCTCCGGTATGCCTCTGCATTGGAGGCATACCGGGAGCACCCGGTCAAGCTGCCCAGCACATGTGCTCGCTCTGACCACAAGTCGGAGCGAGCACATGTGCTCTGAATACTTACCTACCGGCTCCCTGCACTTCCGGGTTCTGTGTGAAGTGCAGGGAGCCGGATCAGTGCTGATCCTGCCCCCTGCTGTTAAAAAAAATAAAGTTAATTTAAAGTGTCCCCCCCCCCCTTACCCATTTTAATAAAAAATTAACCCCTTCCCTGCCAATTGATCACTGACTACAGTGATCAATTGGCAAGGATTACATTTTACTATGATCTGATTTTTTTTTTTAACCCCTGAGGGTTAATTCTTTTTTTTTTTAACCCTCAGGGGTTAAATTAATTAAATTAATTAATTAAATTATTTTTAAATTATATATTTAGATAGCTGGGGTAGGTGGAAGTTAGTGGGGAATTGGGGGATTTGGCGTTAGGCTAACTAGGGGTTAAGGTTAAAAAAAAGTTTTAAAAGAAACTTTAAAAAGTTAAAAATTAAGCTTAAAAAATGTTTTAATAACATTTAAGTAATAAAAACAAAAAAACACACTTTACCTAGTCCAAATAAAAATTAACCCCTTCCCTGCCAGTCGATCACTGCCTACAGCGATCAAATAGAGATCACAGTATTATACTGTGATCTAATTTTTTTTAACCCCTGAGGATTAACTTTTATTTTTTTTTAACCCTCAGGGGTTCAATTTATTTAATTAATTAATTTAAATATTTTATAACTATATATTTTGCTAGCTGGGGTGGGTGGGAGTTATGGGAAAACGGGGAATTTACTGTTAGTGCTGCGTACTGCTAGTTAGGGGTTAACAGTAAAAAAATAGCTTAGAAAAATGTTAAATCTGTAAAAAAGTTTTAAGAAAGTTTAGGAAAGTTTAAAAAAATTTATAAGCAAAACAAAAGTTTAAAAACTAGTTTTTAAAAGTAAAAAAGTTATAAAAAGTAAAAAAATACATTTTAAAAACGCTCATTACCACTACACCTGGAACAAACTAGAAAAAAAATTATCCCACGCCAAGGTTCAAAATATGCCTTTTGAATTACCCCAGGGTGTATTCTTTAATAAATAGTATGTGTTTGTGGGGAAGTTTCAATAACCAACCGTCTAAACTATTCCAAATTGGAACATGGACACAGCGTAAAACTTCAAAGTTAGAAAAAAAACTGAATGGCTGCGTCTCAAATGCGCCCCTTCAACATCCACATATACCTGGCAAAGGTACATACGGGGGTATTGCTGTACTCAGCCGACATAGCTGAGCAACATATGAAGTATTATACAGTCATAGTACACATAAGGTTTGCAAAATATGCTGCGCAAACTCACTTTGTATGTCAAAAAAGGCAGAAAAAATGCTTATTACCACTACACTTGGTACAAGCTAGCGGAAAAATGATCCCACACTAAGGTTCAAAATATGCCTTTTGAAATACCCTGGGATGTCTTCTTTAAGAAATGGTGTGGCTTTATGGGGAATTTGGATTATATAGCCTGGTAAAATACTCTAAAATGGGACATAGGCACAGCATAAAAATTCAAAGTTTGAAAAAACTGGAATGGCTGTGTCCCAAATGTGCCCCTCCGATGTCCACACATACCTGGCAAAGGTACATACGGGGGTATTGCTGTACTCAGCCGACATAGCTGAGCAACATATGAAGTATTATACAGTCGTAGCACACATAAGGTTTGCAAAATATACTGTGCAAACTCACTTTGTATGTCAAAAGGCAGAAAAAACGCTTATTACCACTACATCTGGTACAAGCTAGCGGAAAAATGATCCCACGCTAAGGTTCAAACTATACCTTTTGAAACACCCTGGGGTGTCTACTTTAAGAAATGGTAGGCCTTTGTGGGGTAGATTGAATTTAAAACCTGCGAAGATGCTTGGAAATTGCACATAGGCCCAGCGTCATAATTCAAAGTTTGGTAAAAACGGATATGGCTTGGTCTCCTATATGGCACTGTAGCTTCACAAAATAGTGACAAAGACATTCATTGGGGGTGTATTTTTACTCAAAAGACTTAGCTGAGCATAATTTGGGAGGTTTGAACTGAGTGGCACATATGAAATATACAAAACGCCCAGCAAAAATGCAATCCGTATGTAAAAAATGCACAAAATAATTTTTTTACCACATACTTTGGCATATATTGGTGAAAAAAATGGGGGTATGTTAAGGCACAATATGCACCTTATGAGATACCCTGGAGTGTCTACTTTTACAAATGGTAGGCCTTTGTGGGGTTTTTTTGAACAGTCAAACTGTTATAATTCCCCAAATGGAAGCTAAGGCTCATTAAATCCGTCTCTCAAAATTCTACTGTGAATACTGTAAAGGACAGGTCTCCTATATGGCACTGTAGCTTCACGAAATAGTGCCAAAGACATTCATATGGGGTGTCTTTTTACTCAGAAGACTTAGCTGAGCATAATTTGGGGGGTTTGAACTTAGTGGCACATATGAAATATACAAAACGCCCAGCAAAAATGCAATCCGTATGTAAAAATGCACAAAATTTTTTTTTACCACATACTTTGGCATATATTGGTGAAAAAATGGGGGCATGTTAAGGCACAATATGCACCTTATAAGATACCCTGGAGTGTCTACTTTTACAAATGGTAGGCCTTTGTGGGGTTTTTTTGAACAGTCAAACTGTTATAATACTCCAAATGGAAGCTAAGGCTCATTAAATCCATCTCTCAAAATTCTACTGTGAATACTGTAAAGGACAGGTTTCCTATATGGCACTGTAGCTTCACGAAATAGTGCCAAAGACATTCATATGGGGTGTCATTTTACTCAGAAGACTTAGCTGAGCATAATTTGGGGGTTTTGAACTTAGTGGCACATATGAAATATACAAAACGCCCAGCAAAAATGCAATCCGTATGTAAAAAATGCACAAAATTTTTTTTTACCATATACTTTGGCATATATTGGTGAAAAAATGGGGGCATGTTAAGGCACAATATGCACCTTATAAGATACCCTGGAGTCTCTACTTTTACAAATGGTAGGCCTTTGTGGGGTTTTTCTGAACAGTCAAACTGTTATAATACCCCAAATGGAAGCTAAGGCTCATTAAATTCATCTCTCAAAATTCTACTGTGAATACTGAAAAGGACAGGTATCCTGTATGGCACTGTAACTTCACGAAATAGTGCAAAAGACATACAATGGGGTTGTCATTTTACTCAGCAGATATAACTGAACACAAAATAAAACTTTGTACAGGAATAGCACACACCAACTTTACAAAATATACACGAGAATTTCTCTGTTATAAGTTTGTGTGCCAAAAACCAAAAAGAACACAATTTTACTCCAATATTTAGCAGAGGTTGGCGGTAATATGGCTACGTAGAAAGTGTCAAAACAGCCTTAGGTAAATAGCCCGTGATGTCTACTTTATATAAATATATACTTTTGTGTGGCAATTTTGTTTTCTTTTATGGCTATTAAGCTTACAAGACAAACATACCAAATTCTAAAATCGCTCCACATTAAAATTTTATTTTACTCCTTTATTTTACTGCTTTGTGACCTGTAACTACCAAAAAAAACTTAAAATCCCAGACACATTATATATTCTGTAAATCAGAACAAATAAATAAATTTATTTTTAATTACTTTCCTTAACCTGCACTAATTATGCACACATTATTATTGCAAAAACTGTAAAAAAACCAATATTTTTCATTTTTTTTTGCATTTTTCTGTATTTTTTTTATAATAAGTAAGCATTTATATATATATATATATGTTATATCAAATTAAAGCCCTTTCTGTCCTTTAAAAACAGTATATAATATGTGTCGGTGCAATAAATGAGAGAGATGCAAATTGCAGTTGAACGCAAACAGCAAGAAAATGCAAAAATTGCTTGTGTCATTAAGCGTAAGTCAAGCTTCTGAAGCTGTGTCCTTAAGGGGTTAAATGATTTGTAACATCCTTGGCTATATCATTTGCTCTTTGTGGCAATAAATCAGTGACTTTTCAGTAGAAAGGTCAAGATCTGACCTTAATTTGCTCATGTTCCAAATTTTTTAATATACTTCACAAATGTCTGATGTTTCTAAAATACAGAGACACGAGAGTTATGTCATACTTCTTTACAAAGAGGGTGGTCTCTGCAGGGAGTTGAAATCAAGTGAAGACTGTAAAAGCCTTGTTCAGTAAGGAATATAAAAGCCATCTAGGCAGTAATGGAATTAAAGTAGGGAGGGTCCTGGTGCAATAATTATTTTGGGGCCCCCTATAAGGTAAATCTTTGTCTGTTGTACAACTCCCACAATGTTTCCTCAGCTGGGGACATACCATTTGCCCATTTATGAAGGGTTGTACTTAGCAACATAGTTGGTATGTTTGAATGTATGCATGTTTTTGTATGGAGTATGTGTGTGTTTGTGAATGTAGGGGTTTATTTGTGTGTAGTGTTGTATGTTTTATGTACTGTCGCCATTTGAAAGCAGTGGTTTACTTGTATGCAGTGTTTGCATGCCTGCCATCAAAAATTTTGGGGCCCCTGACACAGCTTATATGTAATGCATGCAGAGTGCGTGTGTAATGCAGTGTGTATCGTGGATGCAGATTGTACATTTGTGTAATGTATGTAGTATATATTGGATGCAGAGTGTGTTATTGTGTAGTGGATGTAGTATGTGTATAGTGAATGCAGAGTGTGTGTTTGTGTAGTGGATGTAATAAATGCAGAGTGTGTATAGTGACTACATAGTGTGATTGTATATAGTGAATTCAGAGCGTGTGTTTGTGTAATGGATGTAATGTGTGTATTGTAAATATGGTGAGTGTTTGTGTAGGCATGTAAATAAAATCACTATATATGGGCCCAGGGACTGCCATTAAAATGGCTCATTTCTATGTTTTTCTTTTTTTTACAGTAAAATTGTGAACTTAGAAAGATTTATTTTCATTGATGGAGCAGAGACTAAAACAATAATTCAATAAAGGAGTAGTGTGTACTCAAATAGAGAAATAATGAGACTGGTATTCCCCCTACAAGGGGAATAGAAATCATGCTCATAAGAGATACCTAAAAATTAGTAACAATATAAGGTAAAAACAACTTTATTGGAAAAAAGACAAACTACACACACAAAAGTGATATAGAAAAGTGTGATGTGTAGGGAAAAAATGGACTGACTCCTAGCTCTTGCTACTTAGTATATCTAGTGAACTCTACAAGTTACAAATATAGCATTAACGCACAATGAAAGTAGGACACAGTAACAAGTTGCTTACAATATATCCTCAGAGTAGTTGTGAACAATCCCTGTTTTCTATAAACAGAGAGGACAAAAATATGAAACAAATAATTATATATAGATAATAAAGTGGGTCTCAGTCGGTATAGACCAAAGGGGGGAGCACTTGTAGTATAGATCTATAAAAATGTATGCCTTGGGTGATAATCACAAGAGTAATAAAAGATCAATAGATCTCCTGAGAGCTGATAGCTGGCAACTAGAGTTGAGCGGACACCTGGATGTTCGGGTTCAGACAAACTTTAAAAAAAAAGTCCGGGTTGGTGATCGAACTTGACCCCTAACTTGATCCCGAACCCGAACCCCATTGAAGTCAATGAGGACCCAAACTTTTGGCCACAAAAATGCCTCTAAAAAACTCCTGGAAAGGGCTGTCAGGAGGATCACCAGAATTATCCATTTGAGAGAGGGTTAGAGTGCAGGGTATTCTCTTTCATTGTTCAAACTGAGCTCAACTTCTGATGCATGGAGAAAAGGCCTTCACAAGCCTCTGCTATTGTGTACATAGTTTGTACTAAGTGACCCATAGGTTGAGGAGGCGGTGACCGTGGCAGTGTAGGTGGAAGCAGTGGTGGAAGAGGAGGATGAGGTAGCCAACACTGTTTTTTATGTTTTTTTATTTTTTTTTAATTGTGGTAGCCCACAAAATATTGGGACATACAAAATTGAAACATTTGCGGCCTGCGGTGCATTTCCTGCAGTCCAGATGCATGGAGAAATGCTCAACTCCTGATGCATGGAGAAAAGGCCTTCACAAGCCTCTGCTAATGTGTACATAGTTTATACTAAGTGACCCATAGGTTAAGGAGGCGGTGACCGTGGCGGTGTAGGTGGAAGCAGCGGTGGAGGAGGAGGATGAGGTAGTCAACACTGTTTATGTATATCTATTTTTATTTTAATTGGGGTAGCCCCCAAAATATTGGGATATACAAAAAAAGAAACATTTGCAGC